TACTAAAAAAATAATAGAATAGTTCAGGTTTTACGCATGTGTTGCTCTCTTAAAACAATGTGATAGCAAATGAGACGATACTGAAGATGGATAAATATGTGTTAAATAGTCTTCTGTTAGAAATTGTTGGGGACTGAGTGTGTGTGGAGCGCAGGATTTTAGCAGATTTTACTACAAACTGTTCCTCTGCATAAATCTCAATTCTGAGTGTAACAGCTGCCACGTACGATGTGTAAAAGAACACGAAACATTATTTAGCGTCAGGTCACGAGGCACCCGAGTGGAAAAACCTCTCACATTCTCTTGTATGACTGAGGCCTCACTGAGAATATGGAGATCAGCCTCCACTGCTGGCAGATATCACAACTTTCTGGTAAACAGTAGGGCTGTGAAAAAGTTTTGACATCAGCCCTCACTGGGTATCATGTCGAAATTTTAATGTGAAAATTATTTTGGAGTGAATGAAAAATGTCAAGGAGAGGTAAAGTAAAACTCGGAGAGATAAAATCTATTTCCATGTGGAGATACTGTTAAAAAATTAAAATACGAGTATATCTCTAAAACTGAGAACATCGTGAAAAAGTTAAGTTTCATATTTGTTTTCGGCCTTTTTGTTGTCATTTTGATGATTATGATTTGTATCTTATGAAAATCTAAAATCCATTGTCTCAAAATTTTAGAATATTTGCTAGGACCAATCAAAAAAGGGTTTAAACCCCCTTGGTTGGGCCTCTTTCACCACGAGTTACTGCAACAGTCGGTTTATGGCACAGCTGAGGTGTTATTGCAATCCCAGTTGCTTTAATAGTGGGCTTAATTTCAATACAGTTGTATTTATATAGTGCCACACGACAGAAGTTGCTTCAAGTGCTTTATACTGTAAGTCCCTACAATATTAGAGAGAAAACCCCAACAATCAGACGACCCGCTCTGAACAAGTAGTTGGCGACAGTGGGAAGGAAAAACTAACCTTTAAGAGGAAGAAGCCTCTGGCAGAGCCAGGTTCATGGTGAGGCAGCCATGACAGGACAGAAGACACGTGGAAAAGTTCATTGTGCACATAAGAAATAGTGTCTAAAATCTTTTCTCTATGCCAAATGCCAATCGCAACACTGAGTGCATGGACGAGTCAGAGGGTGATGGGAGGAAGACGGGACAAAAGGCAAAGATTCAGTTTGTCCTGCCAGATTGTTCCTTTGCCATCAACGCCTTTTTTAATGTGGTCTATGCTGTACTCTGTGAACATCCAGCCTTTTCAGCGTCTTACCCTCCTTGAGGATGACTGTCATCTGGACAGCTTTCAAATCAACAGCCTTTCTTTTGATTGTGGCTGCATGTGCTTAATTAGCACCAAGTACAAAAAAAAGACCTTTTTCATGATATTCTAATTCTTCTTTAGTGTGTTTTCTGTTGACTGTTTGGGCTTTGATTTCAATTCTTTATGGACATTGTCCAAATGCTGGCTGCTGTAGCTAAAAATACCCCTTGAGTCGCCGTTACATTTAGTGTGCAGGGAGTATGTCACGTTTTTGTGTCAGACTAGGCCTGCAAAATCAGCACGTATTGATTGCAATTTGCAGAACTGACTGAGGTGTGGGCCCAGCTCTCACGATCTTTGCGTTTTTGGTTCTCGCAGTGTTATTTTTACCACCCTGCTATCTTGCCTCAACAATGTCCCCAATCACATCAAAATGACAAACACTTTGATTGAAGAGTTTTTTTAAAAAGTCGACCCATTATACTTTTTCTCATTTTTTGACACGTAAAACTTCAAATAACAAAGTCAGATACAAAGTAATCCCTCTGGGTTAAAAGGTCAGGCTGAGCTTTTTCTAACCACTCTGTCTCAGACTCTCCTTTCCCCCCCCATTTGTCTTTCTGTGTGATGTCACTCGGGGGATTTTCTTTATGACTTTCACGGCTCTGGGAGGGAGATCACCTCGTGTGTTGTTCAAACCTTTTTGTGAGGGGAAACTAATCAGGGGAAAGTTGTCTTTAAGGGAAGTAGCAGCACCGAGGCCCATAAATAAAGATTATTTTGAACTGAGAGTCATGCAAAACTACTCTAGTGCAGTCCGAGGATAAAAATATACAGTTGCAAAGTAGGATGTGTCCACAGAAAATGGTACACATTAACTATATATTATATACTGTCGTTTAACTATATTTGTTTGCTTTACAAAGCCAGCATGACCTAGCTTTGAACTGAGGTTCATGCAAAGCCAAATATTTTAAAGCATTTCCAGCAGAGTCCAAGAACACAAGAAAAACAGAGCATAAAACAACAGTTGTTGTCCTTTTTGTACCTACAGAGTTTGCATAGTCTTGCTTTTTGTGGTCGTGGTTTCAAAGAAATATGTGGCAGACTGGGAGAATTACTCTTCTGCAACAGGGTCCTCTTCAAATGAGCAGAATACTGACCTCGTGGTTCATTTGTTAGTGTTGTGGGGTTCTCGGGAATAGGCAGTGACAGTCATTAACTCACTGTACTCTGTTCTTTGGCACAGCACCAGGTGCACTGAAAATGATCTGCTGTTTTTGCAGGTGTCATCACATATGCATGGAAATCTGTTGGTAGTAGGATGAAACGAATCCCTGCCACCTTCAAAACTTTAGGGTGTTGCTCCACAACTAAAGCAAGCAATCTATAGTTGTGAGTTATATTAAATGTATGTAAGGCAGCAGTACTGCTGTTTCATTAGTGAATGATTTGCTTTGTACACCACGAACAAAGAAGCAGGTTGGATGTGCGTTCACTTTGAAACGCTGGGGATAATTTTGCTCCCTCTCTGCTTTCAAAGAGGAATGTAAAAATTCACTGACTGAAATGGAGACAAATAGTTTGAAACCCTATTGGCGGATTTGAATTATTTATTCAGCTTAGATCTCTGTGCCCAGCGTAGTAGCTCAGAATACTTATCAAAATGATTCAGTGTTATGACTCAGTTCCCACTAGTTCAAAAGCATAATCTTTAGCTTTCGTCTACAGACGTTCGGCAGTTGTTGCGGCGACAGATCTTGAATGAAGTCGTCCAACCGCTGCGCAGAATCATTTCATCCTTTAGTCTTTTAACGCCTACAAAAATGTGTGACTTCACATCGTGTGCGCCTCCATTGCCGTCTGTTCTGTCACTCTACCTGGTGCTTAGCACATGAGCAATGAGGCTTGCGTTCTTAACTCGATGCCTGATTGATCTCCTTCGCTGAACAGGATGGCTGATAAATCAGCACCTCCCCCTTTCTGCCTGTTAATCACATCTGACAACGAAGACAACTAGACAATTAAAGGAACCGGGATAGGCCTTAAAAATATGCTCCTTTAATTAATTGCCACGTCAGTTTATTAGGGACTAGGGAAAGCTCGACTAAAGCCTCCATTAACCGTGAGATTTAAGAGGCAAAGAGCTCGGTGGGAGGAGGGTGAATGTGAGGGATGATGGAACAATGGACTTCACAAAATTTTACAACACTGGTGTCAGTTCTGTCGTTCCTAGTTATAGTTTCTGTGTTCACTGTTTGAACACAGTTTGTTTGTTTACAAAGTAAAATGTCGGCAATGAATTGTAGGTCCTAACTGTAATTTTTTACACGTTTGACTCATTTATCATGTTTTATCGTGATCAACCAATAATGTGGTAAATATTGATTTTAAAGCAAATATCTTAAGCTTCTACACATAATTTACCCAGAAAGTTTGGCCACTTTCTATAATACCGTAAAGCTGTGAAGTTCTGTCCCATTGTTGCTGTACGTCTATAAACTGCTTGTTTATGTAACCATATACTCGCTGCACTGGTCAGTGTGCTTCTGTTTTGCGACAGTCCTTCCTTTTATCTGTCATAATGGAGGGGGAAAAAAATAACACCTACTTAGGGGTTAAAATTAACTCTTTGAAAATCCAGCATCATCTCTCCTGACTTGATCTAAATCACAAATTGGCCCTCTTATGATCTGCATGAGAAAAGCAGGCGCGGTATTATGTGGAGATGACCTGCTCCAGCTAGACCTGTGGGCCTGATGAAAGCACCGCCACCTTTGATGTTGTGACAAGGAGTGATGAGTACTTCACACCGTGTCTTCTCTTGATGTCGTGCTTTTGGTCGGCCCATGTATGTTGGCCTGTATTTTTAGAAGGTAATTTAATTTAGAAAATAATGAACTCCTATATGAATAAGCAAACCGTTGTATGCACAGGTTACAGACAGACTGCAGCACACAGATGAGCTTTAAGTTTAGCATTTGTGTGAAGTATGTAAACCTGTGCAAAATGGAAAAAAGCAAGACTTTATTTATGCAGCATATCTCATTCTAGGTGCAGCTTAAACTACCACACACACGAGCAACAGAACCATATAGATAATGCAAAACGAAGTCAATTCATTTATAAGCACATTTAAAAACAACAAATCTACAAAAAATAAAACAACAGGAGTAATGAAAAATAATACAGATGACAGATGAGGAGAAAATGATGAGAGCAATTGAACAACTGACATACTAAGAATACCTCCTTCACTTTGAATATAGAATAAAGATACAAAAACCATCAGTAGACCACAAACAACACAGGAAGTATATCGTATTAGATATACAAGCATTATGCAGAAGTAGATACCAAGTATTGATTTATAAATAGCTGGACATGTATAACTCGGGATTATTAGATAATATTATACTACCGTATATTTCTAACTAACTGGGCAGCTCATGCTCTTTCTCGTGACAGTAGTTTCTTTTGATACTCTCATTTTGGGTTCAGCTTGAAAGAAACAAAAAAGGTAATAGAGAAATCAGATTTCAAACGTGTGCCATGATATTTAGATGCAAACTATAATATAAGTTGATTTTTCGATGTTTCTGTGAGGATGGCGTTATAGTAGAGTTTTTCCAGCACCCTCCTGGGACCTCTTCCTAACATTTGCAGCGTTTCTTAAATGCTAAAACTGCTGACGGCAGCATGGTGCAGAATATACAGTCACTTCTTGTTTCTGTGTCCACAGCACCCGCCATTGTCATCTACTGCTCGACATCTTCAACCCAACAGAGCACGAACTCACTGTCAGGGCCAAGAACAATCAGGACCTGGTTCTCCACGCCAGCGAATGCCAGAGGTGAGTGGAAGGTTTGACTTTTACAAACATACAGATATTTTCAGTGAGTCAAAACAAAACAGTTTCTCAAGTTTATTTGGCTCTTTTCTTTCACCTGAGGCATTCAGGCAATATTTTAGGTCTTTCAGAGCTGGTTCACTTCACTGTTAGTTACTGCCTAGAGCAAAAATCAAAGTTATGAATTGACGTCCTTCCAGCTACTTGACAAGTAGAACTCTGCAGGGCGAGTGTTTAAATGTTAATATAGGTGTTTCTTTTTCTTCTTTCTTATAGCTGCGTGTATTTGCTTATGGCCATGATCTGTGGGTATGAACATGTCTTTAATGGATTTGTTCAGCTATTTGTGAGTTGTTATATATAAACACACTGACTTGTAGGTGTAATTGCAAAATATTGTTGCGCTGCGCCTGGACTTCTGATTCTGATATAAACCTGAGAAAGTCTTGGATGTACCATTAAGTCGTCTGTATATTATGATGTATGTGGCTCAGTTACAACCTGCCTCGGTTATGCCAGAAAGTATGAGACGTGTAGGTAATAACGTCAATCGATGATTGCTTTGAGTGTTTATTTGTTATTGAACTGCATAGCTTATCCTTAAATATAGGAAAGGTAAAGCAGAACTTGACACGTGCATTTTCCCTCGGAAAGCTCTTTTATTTAATGTAGTGGTGCTGTGTTTTATTTATTTTACAATGGGGGCACACTTTGAGTGTAAGTGGGCCGAACTAGTAACAATTTCCTTTCTTTCAGTGTAAATAGCATTTAAATCCTTATTTTCTCAATATAAGAAAAAGAAATGCAATTTCAACTGCACGTCCTACTTTTACTACACGATGAAGAAATGTTTCTTTGTTTAATGAAAGAAATCTGGGACTCGATTGCACGAAACATATGTGTGAAACTACAGAAAAGGTGCTTGGGAGCTCATTGCCCAGACTGTCCTATAATTTTACTCTGCACACTTTTTTTTAAAGACATTTCTATTGTAGAGAGTGAAAAAGCAAACTAAACAGGAAGACTTTTTAGTGGAAGTTTCAGTAGAAGGACAAGCAGTAAAATTAAGAAAAAGTTAAAAGTTCAACATATTTTAGACCCCCCCCCATCCCGGCCTTATGTTTGAAAACCCCATCCTGAAAGCTGAGATATTGTTCTGGGTTCCTTTGCGACCTCCTGGATGAGTCATTAGTACGATCTTGGATTAATTTTGTAATTGGTACTCCTGGGAAGGTTGACTACATTTTCAGTTGTGGATAAAGCCTCTCATCGTGACACACTGGAGTCCCAAAGCCTTAGAAATGGCGCTATAACCTTTTCCAGACTCATAGATGTCAACCACTTTGTTTCTCTTTCATATCTGTTCCTGAGTTTCTTTTGTGCCACAATGTTTCTTTTTGACATCTTTTAGGTTACTTTACTTTGTCTGACAGGTTCTGTTTAAGCGATTTCTTCATTCAACACATGTAGCAGTAATCAGGCCTATGTGTGCCAAATGAAATTTAACTTGGCTTTCCAAAAAAATGATACGTTTTGTATTTGCTCAGGTTATTATCATCTAACATTAAAATGTTTTTGATCATCTAAAACATACAAGTGTGACAAATATGTAAAAAAAGGTTCATCAGAAAGGGGGAAGCGCTTTTTCACAGTAGTCTAATATGACTTTCTAGTTGATGTGAAATTCTGTGTATTTGAAACAGACGGCTACAGAATTGCAATTTTCACCAGTTCAGAAAAATGTTACTTTACCTTGTTCAGTCACAAACTTATAGCAGGCTGACTGTGTTATTGCCATTTTATCACCATCTTGACAGATCAAAGCCTCTTTAAGGATGGCAACCGACTACGGGTGGCCACAGACCCGCTCCCTGTCTTTGAAACAACCATTTCAAAGGCAACAAGCTTGAAGTTCTTGCAATGGCCACAGTAATTATGACCATCCAGTGGTCCCAGCCACTGTTCATATTAAAAGGTTTTTTTTTGCTGCTGTTGTTTTGTTTCCTTGACAATGTTGAGACATACAGCGAAGAGCTCTGTGGCTCTCTTGGTGTAGAAGAAGATCGCTTTGATTCCTTAAGCATAGATAAGTGTTTCTTCCCTCTGTAATATGGTTCGATTAATTTAAAGTGTAACAAAGTACAATATAAAGTCAGAGAATAATTGTAATTGCCTACTTCCATCCCCACCCATACCACTCAGACATGCCAGCACATGTGCACATAAATCATCAGCGTGTCCTGCAGCTTACCTCGGCCTCACTCGCTTGTGTGTCTGTCTCTCTCAGCTTGTCATTTCACTGGAAAGTGGCAAATTATGATTCCTGTCGGCACTCTCTCTCCAGTGCAATCTTTGGTCATGAGCGGAGGTACACCGTTTGGTGACTCATAGGCCCTTCTCTACAGGGGTGGGATGTTATTTTCTGAGACGAATTAGGGGGTGGAAAGGGATCTTTTCAGACACAGCCAAACAGCTCAGCAATCGGCTCTTCAAATAATCTTTCCTGGTTAGAAATGACTAGTTAAGTTCAACAATTTTGTGCTATTATTGTCTAAAAGGAGATAACTTCAAATTTCTAAAAGGAAAAAGAAAATTGCATTTTTATAATACCAGCAGTGTAGTGGGTTTTCATTGTAACACTGATGGGTACTGTTTTCATAGGGCTGTGTGCAGTCCAGCTAACAATCAAGTTTACCCAAAGATTCAGTTGTTTAAAGAACCACTTTTACCAGCAATAAGTTCAAGTAATTATTTTCTGTGTGATAATCCATCACATCATTGTGGAGGCATTTTAGCCCACACTTCTTTACAACATTGCTTCAGTTCATTGAGGTTTGAGGGTGTTTATCTGCAAGTCCACACAGCATTTTAATCAATTGAGGTTTGGACTTTGACCGGCGCGTTGCAGCAACTTGATCCTTTTCTTTTTCAATCATTCTGTTGTAGATTTGCTGCTGTGCTTAGATCCTTGTTCTGTTGCATGATACCGGAGTTCATGGTCAGCTCAGTCACAGTAAGGTGCCCGTGTCCTAAGGCTGCAAAACAAGCCCAAATCACCACCCCGCTACCACCATCCGTAGTTGGTATGAAGTGTCTGTGCTGATGTGCTGTTTGGTTTTATCCGAAGGGCATTGCAAAAAAGAAAAAAAGAAAAAGCTTTCTCCTGGTAAGACTTCCAAACAAGCCGTTGCTATCATTTATGACCACAGGAGGATCTGTTTCGTTACATTTACGTCTCAATAGTTATTTTCATCATTCTTTCTTCTTTAAAGACCAATGTTTGAACTTTGTTGGCTCTCCAGGTGCTCCAAATACTATACAGACCCAAAACAATTATTTTACATTTACCTATAGGTGTTGATGTCAACTTGAATAATGCCATATTTTGAATATATGTATTTGATTGAAAATGCAATTTTACCATTTTCAGTCTCTTGGAAGAGATTTCTGTTCCAAACTTCCATGCTGGTTTTCCATTTACCACCCTCTGTGGAACAAAAAATGTAGAACTTACATGTTAGACTGAAATTATTATACTTATAAAAGATGCATGCATCCATACACCAATGATTGATTTGACCCTGGTCCTCTCAGATAGTGTAGTTATCTTTGAAAATAAGCAACTAAAACCTCAGAGCGGTTGTGTGAAGCACTAAATGCGTGTGGTCGGTGGTTATTCATAACTACTTGTAACTGAGACAATGTAAAAGAGAAACATGGCACACAAAGAATCCACAACTGAACGCTGACAATTCTCTACAGTTGTTCCATCCTTGCTTTCAAAAAGCCAGTCAACAAGTTAAGGAGAATCCTGACAGGTCTGCTTTGAGTACAGCGAACTATACAACCCAAACTTGGTGGGTGGAAAAGTTTAAACCAGAAATATAACTGTTATTGAATTAAGGTTTGTGATGCTGATTTTCTCGTATCAGTCTTTGTTTTACTGTATTTTCTTCTGCTGTTTAAAGTCAGGCCATCTGTTGCTGCTATGTAATTTCTTTAGTTGCTGAACTTCACTTTCTTCCATCACAGATGCAATCATAAAACCAAAGATATGACCTTAAATGGAAGTCAAATGCTCTGTAACTGCTTTAAAACACTGCCTCTTTAGAATCTGACAGTGAATCACTGAGGCAAACAAGTATCAAGTAGCAGCAAATGTTGATGCTAAATAGACTGGTATGTAGTGCTTTTCTACTCTGCCTGAGCACTTAAAGCGCTTTATACACCAGCCCCATTCACCCAAGCACTTCTTCATGCTTTCCATCGAACATTCACGTGTTGATGTATGTATAGACTTGCACGTCTTTTCCTCCTTTGAATGGCATTCCATTTAAAGACAGCTATTGCCTTAGGCCCCACCAATCAGCATATCCGTCCCATAGATATTTCTCTTGAGGCCTGATATTTGAATTCACCAGGGAATCAGTTCAGAAGCAGCCTACTGATTCTTTCACAGCATGCACTTATTTCCAGGTAGAGAATGGCCTCCCCAGCATCACTCATCCCCTATTCCTTGTTTGCAAATGCCTTTCTCACATACCCAGAGCATGCTTAATGCAGAGTGGGGTAGAATTTTGCATGCGGTGAGAAACAGGTCCGCTGTGCTGAACCATATTGTGATCGTCTTTCCAACTCCATCCTCTGTCGACATCAGATGGCCCTGTCATTTCATATTTCTGTCCCGTTCTATGATGAATGAGGTGTCAGGCACAAGATGTTTTCTGGAGTCTTCATCCAGGACTGCTGAAGCTAATGCTTCAATCCGACGTTTGCAGAAATGACTCTGTCAGTCATCCGTATTTTCCTGCTATGATTTTTAATTGTTTACATTGAGCCTTTTCAAAGCTACGCAAATAAAAAGTCATGAAAACCCCGCCTTGAGTGAAGAGGAGAAATGCAGTTTTTAGACTTTTCTAGACACTGAGCTTTTTCCATATTCATACACATTTCTGCATTTTCAGATACATGACATCCGATAACTTAGTTTCTGTCACAGGAAA